TATATTTTCGGCTACAGTGTTGTTCTACTAAAATTTTAGGAATTTGATTTAAATAGAAGATAAATAAATTTTACATACTTTAAAAAGTATACTTCTATACAAAATAATTCTAGTGAAGCTTATAGTGATAGAATCATTTAATAACTTTTTCAATCTCTTAAAAAGTTAAAATTCTGTGGTATAGATTAAATCAAACTTTGTATTACCTTTTTCAATTTTTGCTGGCTGTTACATATTTATTTGTCATAATAGCTTGTTTTGTTTGACATTCTTTATAGTACATTTTTTTCTTATTAGAAATAATTCTCTTATTTAAATTTGATCCATTTTGCATTATCCTAAAACATATTTGTCATTTCGTTATTCAGCTTGTATTTTATTCTGCATAAAAGTTGTAACTTCGAAGTTTTAATGAACTTTTCTTAACATCTTATCACGAAAGAGCGACATGTTTCAGTTGTTTTTTCCATCACCACCATCATTATTATTCACGACTTCTTGAGGTTGGCTTTATGAATTCACATTTATCATCTATCAATGTTAAGTATAGCTAAGTTCTTATGCAAATCTTTGTTATATTTATTTAGATTATTTTCTTTTTAATGCTTTCTTTTTAGTTTTATTTTTCTTATAGGTGCATCTTCCACTCTTCTTTGCAGATGGCCAAAACACGTAGTATTCCATTACATTAATGTTAATAGTTAGTTTCATTGTCCATTTCTTATATTTGTTTTTTAATCTACTTTTCTTAATTTTTTACTCATCCTTTCTATCATTCATAATTCACTTAGTTTGTTTATTTGTGAGTTAATTATAAATGGAAACTCAGATCCAATCAACTTGGTTTAGTGATGGTAACATTAAATTTTTGGTAAAAATAATATTTTCTTGGGCAAGTGTTTGTTCATAATTCACTTGATTTTTGCTTTAATTTTAATTGGCTTAAAATTGAAATCTTTTTCAGATTATGCATTGGATAGGTTTTCTCATCTGAATTTGACTCTATTCATTTAAAAAATATTTGTGTTTCTTCACTCAAATATACACATTTTTGTAGGCACCACAAGTAATAGTGCATTAAATTGTTAATATATATATCCATCTTCTATACACAATTATTTTATATAATGTTTTACAAAATAATACTATATATATATATATATATATATATATATATATATAACTAATTTTATTTATTGAAAATATTTTGTTCAACATAACTTGAAATTTAACGAAGAATTAATCTCATTTTTCTCAACATCGAACTTGGCTTGAATCAAAATTGAAATTTTCAATCTCCAGTTGTGGTCAGTTAGCTCAAGCTCTCAATAGCAGCTCTGACATTCTTCTTTTTTACATTAGTTCTCCTGAGATATTTTCTCAATTTTAATTACTTAATTGAGCTCTAGAACTTGTTTCTTGATGTTTATTCATATTTTTTAACAATAAATCGAAGACATTTAAACTCACACCTAGATATCATGTAATGACATATAATTATCAATTTTACACCTACTTAATTTTTTGTTTAAACATGATAATTTACTAGTAATGTTATGCCTCTTTAAAATTTACTAACATTGTTTTGGTTTTACTTTTATTTTAGCTGAGGTTTAATCAAAAACAAGTATTCCATGCCACCTATAAATAGCATGTACCATAATACCTTATTTTAAATATCCATTTAAAGCATCTTTATGGCCGATACAAGAAAACTTGGGCTTCAATGCAGATCGTTGATAAAATCTTATCATGGTTGCAATTTTTTTTTTCTTTTGACTTTCCATAAATGCATTTCATGCTCTCACTGCTCTTTCATTCAAGTCATTGTTAGCTTCAATAAAGCTTAAAAGCAATGATTTTTTTCTCACTACAAATCAAGTATATACTTTCTTGTAATAATAAGAATCATAGAATGATCTTTTTTTTGTTCTCCATTTATTTACTTTAATCGACAGAATATTAAATTCACCTTTATAATGGATCTTTATATATATAATTGTGCTCGGTTGTCCCATATAGAAAGATTTTTTTTACCTTTGTTCGATGACTTTCTCCTATAATGTCTTTATATGACCCATATGTTTCCTTTAATTGATAGAATATTAAATTCACCTTTATAATGGATCTTTCAAGCATTTATATAAATGTGAATCAGTTGTTCAATATAAAAAGATTTTTTTATACTTTTGTTCGATGACTGTCTCCTATAATGTCATTATATGGCCCATATGTTTGATTCTTCTATAGTTTTTTGTGTTGAAATCCCTGATATCTTTTACTTTTAGTACCAAAACATTTTGTTTTTAATAAATTTGAAATCATTTTAGTATTTAAGACAACTGTGAATAAATTTGTTTGTCAATTACATCAAAACCTCTCAGAAGTCACCAAATCCCTTGTGCTTTCTCATTTCAAAATAAAGTTTTACTTTTATGCATGTTTAAAACAAACTATAGGATTAATTTAAATTATGTTTCAAGACTATTCATTATTCTTTTTAAATTTTTTTTTTTCCTTAAATACTCATATTGTAATTTTTTTTAATAGCCTTTATTTCTTTCTAGATGCCTTTATTTTTAATTAAGGATCTATCATTATGTGATTTCTTGAAATAATTTTTCTTACAAAAAATATTAGTTTTCTTTGTTTATTACTTATTCTGCGAACTTCTATTGCATGCTTCTTAATGCAATTTCCTATTCTGTCATCTGTCAAATAAAGCTTCTTTATAGAATTTCAATTTTTCTCATTAAAAATATATCTCAGATTGAGTGCTTCTTACCCTTCAGAATACATTTTGTCCTAAGAGAATTATTTTATTTTAATTATTTACATTATACTTCTAAGCTATTCATAGATATACTATTTTATTTTTATTTGGTTAAACTTTATCTTTCAATTCACTTAACTTTATTATTGTAACCCATTAAATATTGTTAATCCTCTATAGCACCATAACTTCTGATCTTCCCCAATGTTTTTGGTTTTCCACATTCAATTTAATTTCTTGCAAACAGATGTTATTTTATTTTGATCAATTTTCCACTTAATATTTGACCTTCTTGTGAAATTTCTGAAATCGCATCTGACTAATTTAATCTTTATTTTAGACTTATCCCTTGCACATAGTTTACCACAATTGTGTTAAGTTTAATCTAGAATTTATGAGTGATGTCGTTTTCTACTTCTTATGAGAATTTAACTTCTGCTTTGTCAGTTAAAAGCAATTATTTTTTTTTTCTTATTACTTAATTTTTTTTACGGAATACTTCCATAAATATTTTTTATGGTTAATTTTTCTCTATCAATAACTAGTAATATTTGCAGTTTTTTTCCTAGCTTTGATGGTAACTCCATGCTTCACATTAAGCATCGACCTTCTGATGATTTGATTAGGAGAGTAGATGTTTTAGATTCAACTTATGTTATGAAACATAGGAAGACTTGGGCTTATTGTATAAAATATGATCTTAATTTATTAGAACTAAATGAAAATATGACACTAAATAGGACGCAATGGAGACGTAGTGGGATTAAGACTTTGTTGTTGCTGTTTGATAATAACTCCATGCTCTTTTTTCTCTTAAAGTGCTCATTCTTACAAAATTATTTGCTATTACAAAATAAAGTATGACTTATTCTCTTACATTTTATCTCTTATTCCAGATTTTCATAAATCCTCTTAACAAACTATTTTACCAGAAACGACATGGCTACAAATTAGGAGTCACCGACATTAATTATCCTCTCATATTTCTTTTATACCTTGTAATGATCTCGTCTATTCATTCAAATTTGATTTTTAGAATTTTCTTCTTTATTTCACCTGTGTAGATTCAGCACAATGTATATACATACTGTACTCATTCAAAAACAACTCATTAGCAACACCCAATTTTAGTAATTTTAAAATTTTATTTTTCAACTTTCAATGCATTATGTTATCCTTGGTTCTTGCATTGACCTTTTCCCGATACAATAGCTTATAACCTTCCACATGTATTTGGTTATTTTTTTTCCTTTTCCATTTGATTATCTGCAAACAGGGCATCTTTATTATTTTTCATTCAACATGTCTTGAAGCTTTTTTGGTTAAATTTTTGCTATTTTCAATGCAATTAGAATAAGCTATGTTGCCTAAATTTCAATCGATGTTGTAGAAAACCCTCAAATATTTATGGCCATAATCGGCTAAATTGTTTCGTGGGAGAAAATATGGTGCAAATTGCCACAAAATCATTGAATGAAAATTTATTTCTTTGATTTTGGCATTTATTTAAAATTGATTGTCAACTCATGTTCAAACTTTCAATTATTTTTCGTTCTTATTAGAGACATGAGACAGGTAATTACATTTTTTTTATTGGTATTGTTGCATGTAGTGGTAATTAAATTTCCTTACAAGCATGATCTGCCGATCAAGTTTGCATGCCAACAACTAAATTTAGCTTTTCTTCCATTTGAACATGTGCTTGTGTCTAACTTTCCTTCTGACAAGCCACAATGAAGCTTCCTTTCCTGTATTGTTATACTTTTCTCGTGCATTTGTTTCTTTGAGTCTGCCTTACGTTCTTTGTGGGTACCACTGATTATCTAATTTCAATAATTAAGACAATTTTCCTTCTGACAAGCCACAATGAAGTTTCCTTTCCTTATTTGTTATACTTTTCTCTTGCATTTGTTTCTTTGAGTCTTCCTTACCTTTTTTGTGGGTGTCACTGATTTTCTAACTTCAATAATTAAGGCATACTGGTTATAGCAAGTCATATTTTAGCTCAATTTTATGCGAACTTCAACATTTAGCTTAATGTTTGGTTCCATGAAAGTAGGCTGAAAGTATATGTAACTGTTTTTTTCTTGTTAGCTGTAAAAATAACTATATTTGTGCTGATTTGTGGTTTATCTAAGATACACAAATATTCTCCCTCATTTATTTTCTTATCTAATTAAGTTTTCTTGCCTACCGCTGCTTATGAATGAGTCACCTTTTCTTGCAGGCATGTGTAAATTCTCACCTGCATCTGATCCAATTAATGCTGCATATATAATTTCCAGGAAGGATCTTTCAAGGTAGAAAATCAAACCAGTGTTTACAGATCTATCTTAGTGATACATTTCTATAGAAGTTGTGATTTCATTGAACTTAATTCCTTGCGTAAATGTGTTGTTGAAAGGTTTTATCAGAGTTACACTTCTCAAGCGAAATCAATTGCTAATCTTTTGCATTTAGTTCCTGCACAAAGTAATTTACCAAATGCTATTTCTTTACACGTGCTTATTCTTCCTTCTTGCTCCCTCTGTTATTTGGTATGTGTTTCCTTAGATCAATCACTTAAATGAAAACATTGTAAAATGTTTCTGTCTGTTTTAGTATCATGGACAAGTTATACTTTTATAATTCGCCAGCTGATTGAGCTGGAATTATTCCGATTTAAGATCATAAATGCAAATGAGGGCAACAAATTTATTTTGAATTTCAGCATCTCAGCAGGAGCAGGAAAAGAAAACTTTAACTCCTTGGGCTAACTTTTTACTTTTTGGGTGGGCATTATGACTTCCGAATTCTTAGGCCTGCAGTTAATCTTCTGGGGGCCAGTAAACCCATTGTAGCGGTAAGATTCTGCCCAATTCTTTTCTGTCTTCAAGGATCTAACACAGGTATCTCTCATGGTTATTTTTTTTTGTAAATTATGACCTCATGGAAACTGAGGATTCCCACTAATTGTTGCAGCCAGTTTGTTCAAACTTCCTTACCGTGTTATTTTTGCTGTGGCGACATTCAATTCATTGTACATTTATGATTCCGAGAGTTCTTCACCAATTGTCATAGTAGCTGGACTACACTATGCGGCTATCACAGATATTTCATGGTTAGTGGCATTAGAATGTGTCATATATCCCTTTGGCTAATAGTTTTAGTAATATTCTTGTCTTCTTTTCAAGATTCTTTATAAGATTAGGCCTCTGTGTTTACTCAGCAGTCTTCTTACTTATTTTTTCTCCAGGTCTCCAAATGCTAAATATCTTGCACTCTCTTCTCAAGATGGGTATTGTTCTATTCTAGAATTTGATGATGATGAACTTGGTGTTCCTTTCTCCTCTGAAGGTATGAGTATTTATTTATTCATTGAATTTTATGATTAATTCCCTAGTAGAAATTGCGTTTTATAAACAGTGATATGGTTGGTTTTATGGATTTAGAAGAGAATATATATAAACTTTTGCTATCAGCCTAAATGGCTCCTGCATATCTTTGTCTTACATGCTGCTTACTCATTGCTTGCTTTGCATTTCATTTTGGTTGATGCATTTTTTTATCAGTCAACTAGTGGTCGAATGAAACTGGAGAAAGAATTACCTTTTCCTTTAGTTGATGAAAATGGTTCATTGTTTATGCACAGTGGTGGAACCATCCTCTTTTTTCAGGGTGGACAAAATTATTATAAAAATGAATTAGTTAAAAAATTAGCACATAATGAAAAATTAAGAGTTGCATTTTATTATCAATGATAAATTAAATAATATTACAAACATCTTTTATTTTATTTTATAAATTAAAAAATAATTTCTGTTTTAATATAAATTTTCACATTAAATATAATTTCATAAAAGTATAAATTTCGTATGAAACACAAACTAAATACAAAATATTTCTTCAAAACCTAATAAATAAATATATGCAAAATAATTAATGCATAAATTTGCACTTCCAAACTATAATTTGATTTCATTTTTTTATTTTCTATTTTTATTTGCTCAAATATAAGAAAAATATAAATATTTGTAATGAAAATAGGAGTATACAGAAATAAAGATTTTTTCTTTTAAATTTTGGGGTATTTACATCCATACCGCCCAATTCTTATGTATATAAACATCTAACATAAACACTTCACTTTTTTACATTTCTACCAGCCAAAATTTTCATTTCATATTTTCATTTTTGTGATATTATTATTTTAATTTCATATTTTAATTTTAAATCATAAGTATGTGAAATTTAAAGTTTAGGTGTTAGATATGTAAATACATATGTAAATAATTTTCTCAATAATAACACAATCCAACCATAAAAAGCTGAAAACGGCAAGTGGAATTTAGTCCCACATTGGTTTTTGAATGAAAAATTTTTATTTTTAAATTTGAAAATTTCAGAAACTATTTCACTAAGCTTAATTTTCTATAAAATTAATTAGTGTCATAAAGAGCATTTATAAGCTTAGTTTCTTATTACGGCAAAATTGGGGCAAAGTAATATAGTTGAGGAAAGGCAAACAATTAAATTGCATCTTTTTTAAGAGCATTTATAAGCTTAGGTTCTTATTACGGCAAAATTGGGGCAAAGTAATATAATTGAGGAAAGGCAAACAATTAAATTGCATCTTTTTTATTAATTAAATTCTAAACTTCAGGGAGGTCAGTTGTCCCCCCCAATTGGACTCTAACAAAAATTGACTCAGCCTTCATTTTAAGCAAATCAGAGGAACTTTTCAGTATCATCAGTTATTTTGCCCTAACCCTAGTTTTATCTGAGGGCAGCATTAATTTCATGAATATTGGCATGAGTTTTAGGATTGGATGTTTTTGTAACCTAAAATCTCATCCTCTTATTCTGTCTTGGAACTGATAATCGTGGATTTGATCTTTTTATTTACTTGATATATATCTTATTGGGCTTCTTGAATATACACATATTTATGTTTGAAATTTCTTACTATCTTTGTAACATTAGAGTAAAAATGAAAGCATGCAATTTGTGAGAAATTATTGCATCAAAATTACTATGATGGCAATTTGGTGTAGATGAATATCTTCGGTTTAAGATTCGGGGATGGCTATGTGGATTTAGGATTTGGGAATATGATGAGTGTATTGGGGTTGCATGGGTTAATAGATTTTATGATTCATGGTGGTGCATGCAAGGTATAACCATGACCATGAAAATGTAAAGAAGATGGAAGAAAAGAAAGCTGATTTCTTATTGAGGATAGAAAGCATGAGAGGCATCGACATGGCAGTGGCCATTATTCTTGAAGCCAAGGACTGATCTTTTATGTTTCATCTTCTATTTAACTAATCCCACATTTCAGTACAAGGCCATGAACAAAAAACAAAGAAACAAATTATGTCTAAATTGTTAATGAGGCTTGTTACAGTTTACTAAAGAATTGAAATTAAAATTAAGCAAAATATGGCCATCCCATGAAGTGGACTACCAAAGTTTCAAGTCTAACTATAATGTGCCAAAAAACCTTCAGTGACCCATCCGCTTGAGTCCAGCTAGTTTTATCTTTTGGGCTTTTTTGAGTCTTTGCGTTTATTATGACCCTATTAATCTTGATTAACCCAAGCTGAATATACGGTCATTTGTTTTCAATGTGATGATAATTTTGATTGATCAGCTTTCTTTAAGGTTAACTCTTCATTGTGTTCATATGAGTCGATCAAGGTAGAAGAGGTGGTACATGAACCTGTAACCATGCGTCATAGAAAGTGATAGTAAATATTTCAAAGAATATGGAGGCTTTGGTGTTTGATAGCTCCAAAATGTAAACATTTTTGAGATATCTACAATTTACATTAATAATGGGTTAGGTAGCCATGATGATTTTACTCACAGAAAGTCAATCTCTAGGTATTTTTGAAACAACACTATTATCTATTATAAAATGAAGGGTTAACAAATGTAAAATCGGGAACTAATATGTTTGACTTCAGTGAGGTGAGGCATATTCGAGGCCCAAGTCTCAAAAGAAAAAAAAAAGTATAAAATAAAAAAAATTAGCATAAAATAAAAAAATTAGTATTAAAAAATAATTTATAAATAAGATATAAATCATTGATATATTGATTTTATTTATTATTATAAACAAACAAACCACAATTCACTATTTTAAATGTTGATATAAAATGAATGTTTGAAATGAGATTCAATATAAACATCCATTTGAAATTTAATATGACATGATGATCAAGATCCACAATAGCTTGCTTCATCTTTCTTTTATGATATTTATAAAAATCATTAAATGTAATAATTTTATCATCATTTGATCATTTGTCAGTGATAACCAAATTTCCTTCACGTATTATAGTTTTATTCCTATTCTTTATGTCACAACTTATATCATATCAATATAAATAAAATAATAAATTAATAACACAATCAAATAATCATACTTTAATTATTTTTTGACATTTTTGAAGCGTTATATGCTTTATATTAGTTATGAGTAAGTATTGTATTTTATATATGGGATATGAGTATGATATCATTGATGTGATGCGACAATGAGGCCCAAGTCATGTGATTTTTTTTTTGCGCCTCGGTTTATGCACACCTTGTGGCATACTCCTTGAAATTCTTTTAAAATGGTTAGTGAATTGGAGTAGGTTAAACACTTAAACATTATGAGCACTTCTTGTTACGTATATAAGTGTCACATGCTAGGATGATCTTTTCAAAATTATTATTAGCTTATTTCATTAATTATTAATAGAAAATATCATATTTAGCTTTATAATATGTTATGTAAGTTTGCTTAGTTTATATGGCAATCAAATAATCGTGGATTGTATCAAACCCACATCACAATCATTGAGTTGAAATTTTAGCTTGAAGCTTTTATCATGAAGTTATGTAGAGCTAAGGCAAAATTCAACATTATCATTATTAAACTATTTTAGGATACTTTTATTCTATAAGGCTCACCTCTTTTGCCAGATCTATTATATTGGTCATCATAGACATTATTATCAACCTATCCCACATAATATGACATTTTTTATTGAAGCTTATGCATCAATATATATCTTGTAAGTGCTAGATCTATTTTTAAAACACAACTCTATCATGTCATATCATACACAATATGTCAAAATGTATTTTTCATAATTTAAAATTTATGCCTATTCTTTTAATCTTGAAGAGTAGGATGTTGACATGAACCTTCAAATATGAAAACTTACTATTGCGTAGCTTACAGATAGCTTAAAATTACTCACGCTAGACAAATAAATTTACTTCTTGAATTAAGACTTGAATATCTTACCTAATTCATTGACAATTTAACAACCCTCTTCACCAAGGTCACCACAAAATTTTGTTCATTCGCAAATGATCTTTGAATGCAAACTATTCAATTTCTAATATTTGTAATTCTAACTCAAATTAAATTTAAATTGAGGGGCATTTACATAACATACCCATCCAATTCTTATGCATTTACATATCTAACACCTAAATTTAATTTTTACTTGTATACCACCCAAACCTTCATATCACATAAAAAATTTATCTAACACCTAAATTTAATTTTTACATGTATACCACCCAAACCTTCATATCACATAAAAAATATCACTATTTTAACTTTTAAAAAGTGAAATACATCTTTTTCATGCATCAGGTAAGGTGGTAAGTGTGTAAAAGTTGAAGTTTAGGTATTTGATTTTTAAATACATAGGAATTGATTGGTATATATGTAAATTTTTCTTAAATTAAGAATACCTCAAAAATAAATTTTTACTTCAAAATAACTTCTCTTAATACAAGTTAAGTTTGGGTTTTAACTTGAATTTATTTAAGTTTATGTCTATGTTTTAGTTTTAGCTTAATTTAGATTTATACTTAGACTTTGCTTAAGTTTAAGCTTAGGTTCTAGTTTTATTTTAAAAATTAGAATATGTTTAATTTAGGTTTATGCTTAACTTCATGTTTGATTTTAAGTTTGAACTTAGTTTTAGGTTTATATTAAGTTTAGTTATGGTTCAATTTAGGTTTAATAATTAATTTCAAGTTTATTTTATACTTTATTTAAGTTAATGCTTAGGATTAGGTTTAGTTTTATATTAGTAATTGAATTTAAATTTGAAAAATTTTTAAGGGATTGTAGGGTTGTCTACTAGGTCGAATTAAGTAGGCTAACACAAGCTGACTCAAGCATGATTCTTAATGACCTACACGCTAGTTGAGCTCACTATGAATTAAATTTTTGAATAGGAGGATTTTGTTTGGTTGGTGAGTCCCATAGGTTTA